TGTTCGAAGTAGCGACACACAGAACTCTGGCGAAATCAGATCCGGATACAGTCAACCGCACACAGCAGTACGACACAGCTCGTGGAGAAATCCCGGGGCAACGGAGCAGGTACTGGTCCAGGAACGAGCAGCGACGAGCGCAGTCCACCAACTCTTGTTTCCGCGAGCCACCCCAAGTTCGTGGTAACGACCCGACGTTGTGGCACTCGCGGCGACAAAAATAGCGACTAATGCAGCTTAGTGCTTTCCGCATATGGTTCAGGAACTTATGTTCGAGGACGGAGTCAGGCAGTGGGATGACGTCCCCGAACTCCAACATATTCGCGAACTTGTACTGGCTTGCCCAAGGGCAGTGACTCTCCATACTGGCCCAATTGCCCTCGCCCCAGTCGTCAAGATGCGCGTCCCTGCACGGAATGACGGTCATCCATGGGTCCTCGTCGAAGTCCTCTGCGGTCGCTCCGTGGATCGTCGTCACACCGTTGAAATGCCGCACGGATTTCGCACAAGGACGAAAAGGTTCTGCTAAGCGAATGTGTGTCTCGGCACTCATGGCCTGTGGTCTCGAGAAGATCGACTCGAAGATGTGTGGTGTCGAGAAGGTCCCCTCCATCACGCAACCTGCACACCACGCGCACATGCCCGAGGACACACACGCGCACGGAGACACTCGTAAACGCGTCATGTCTCGCGATGTGCGACCCATGGCATTAGACGTAGTGTATGCCCCACGATCGGATTTCGGGTGGCCGGCTTCGTCGGTGTTCATATCTACCGGCCCGCGGGCCAGCCGCAAACACGCCCTGCGACATGTTCGCCTGGATCCGAACTTGGCGAGATTGCGCGGGAAAGACGAAGCTGTCTCCCGAACCCGACGTCCAAAACTGCCAAGAAGTTCGGATCCAGGCGGACTTCAATTTCGCACGAATGAAAAGTTGTGGCAATCCACCGGTCGCCAGGAAGTCCACAGTCAGAACCCGCACCACCCGAAAGGTGAAGCACGCCGGGGTCCGAAGTCGACGGTTTTCCGACGAACCGTGCACGGGAAGTTCGGATCTCAGCGAACTTTGCATTTTAAAGAATCTGTAGTCTGGTGTGATCCAAAATTTACGATTGTCTGAGGAACCGTGCACGGCAGGTTCTGATCCACGGCCCAGCAGGAACATCTTCTGCCACATGCATCGCGAAAGGAAGACAACTCAAATTCGTCGGGATCCGAACTTGGCAAATTTGTCGGGATCCAAACTTGCGAAAGGAACATCTCCTGCCACATGCATTGCGAAAGGAAGACAACAGGTTCGGATCCACGGCCCAGCAGGCGAACCCGACGATGAGACGAGGAACCTTTGCACGAGAAGTATGGATCCCGGCGGACTTCGCATTTTTGCGAAACAAAAAATGTGGCAAACACCCGTTCGCGAGAAAGGACACAGTCAGTACCCACACCATGCGCGACGCGAAGTTCGTCGGGGTCCGAACTTGCCACGCGAGGTCCGAATCCATGGGAGGGTGTTCGCCGGGATCCGAACTTCTTGAGACCACGTGGGAGAGAATCAACTGGCAGGCTACACATTTTTTCAAATACAAAGTTGTGCCAAACCCTGGGAGCTAGAAACCCGCATTCTGAACCCGCACATTGAGACAAGCGAAGTCGCCGAGGTGCGAACTTGACGTCTGTGCGAGGAACCGTGCAGTAGAAGTCCGGATCCCGGCGGACTTCGCATTATCACGGATCCGAGGTTCGCCGAGGTCCGAACTCGATGAGTGTGCAAGGAATAGTGCGAGCGAGGTTTAGATCTGCAGGCCAGCAGGAACCTGTGGTTGGCCGGGATCCGGACTTGGCGAAATTACGTGGGAGATACACACCTGTCTGCCAAACTCACCGTCCTGCAATTTCTTGAAGTTCGGATCCCGACGGACTTCATATTTTTCCACGTCCCAGGCTGTGGTTGCGGACCGGGGTTGCGAAGCGTGTTCGAGCAGCTGCATGAAGTTCGCCRGGATCCGGACTTGGCGAAATTGCGTGGGAGACATACACCTGTCTRCCGAACTCGCCGTCCARCAATTTCTTCAAGTTCGGATCCCGGCRRACTTYCWATTTTTACACGTCCYAGGCTRTGGTTGGGGACCGGGGTTGCGAAGCGTGTTCGAACAGCTGCATGAAGTTCGTCGGGATCCGAACTTGGCGAAATTGCGTGGGAGATGCACACGTGTCTGCCAAACTCGCCGTCCAGCAATTAGTTGAAGTTCGGATCCCGGCGGACTTCTAATTTTCCACGTCCCTGGCTGTGCTTGCGCACCGGGGTTGAGAAGTGTGTTCCAACAACTGCACAAGCTCGTCGGGATCCCGATTTCTTCTGATGTTTGATTGCGCGATCAGTTCGGTTGGAACGGCCACAATCCGATCACGAGAACAGTGTCGGCGACGCGTGGGGTGGTGGGTGCTCAACGTTCACCGTTGGATGACCCTACGTCCTCCAAAGTTCGACGTCCGACGAGGTTCGACACTCGCCGAGGTTTGATGTGGAGCCAGGTTCCGTGGGCAGCAAGGTTCGATGTTATATGAGGTTCGATGTGCAACAAGATTGTGGCGAAGTGCTTTTTATTCATTCGAAGATCGGGATCGACGTTTTTCTGATCGGTTGTGCGTTTCGTTCGGCCGTTTCGATTGTGCATATGATCATTTGCCTTGAGGATTCTCCGCGATCGTTCTCCACGATCAATTAGCACAGAACAGTCGATTGGTTGATCGGCTGCTCGGTTGGCGGTTGGTGTGGTGGTTGATCAACCAGCAGAGCAATCGCCAACCGAGCCGTCGACCAATCAGTTGATCCTTGCAGATTTCCTGACCGATCGACGGTTCGGTCGAGGACTGTCAGGTGGGTAAATAAACAGGTCGCTCGCTGGCGGGTTGATCTTTGGTGCAGCACACACGATCAATCATCCGATCGCAAGTAATCTTCTGTCGTTTCGCGATTGGTCGGTTGGATGCGTTGTCGCCTCGTGCATTGCTTAATCATCCGTCGGGCAGATCAGCGGCGCTGTTGTTGGGGAAGCAAACAACATCTATCACCCGATCGCGAGTGGTCGGCTTGCGTTTCGTGATGGGTCGGTTCACCACGTGTGTGGTGTACATATTATCATGGATCTGATCGACCATCAGATCACGAGTGATCTGAACACACATGACAGAAAGAACAACACACACGCGGTGGTAACGTCGACACGGCAGACACGACCAATCATCCGATCGCGAGTGATCTAATCGTGTTTCGCGATTGGTCGATGGATGCGTTCGCTGTGTCGACATTCCCACAGCGTGTTTCGATTGATCATCCATTGGGCAGATCGGCGGACATGACATTGGGACAGCACACAAAACCAATCGGGTATGGCAAGTGCTCACGATGACGTTGTGTTTCGTTATTGGCCGCCGCGTGTTCGATCCGAGCTTCCGTGCTTCGCCACTTGAGTACAACACGAGCACAATCGTTTGTTGATACTCTCCTCACACATCCTCACACATCCACACACAAGCGGAATCGAAGGGCGAACCATGACGTTCGTTCCTGACCGCGCACGTTCGCGCGCATCTCCCCGTGGAAAACGCGCGCGAACACACACGCACGCGAACACATGTGCACAGACAGGCACACACACGCACACACACACACACACACACGCACTGACACACGGCGCCCGCACACACACTCCCCTCGGATACAGACGCGCGCACGATCCTGCCTCGCGCTTGTGGCACACACTTCAATACAAACACAAACACAAAGGAACACGCACTCGAACACACACACACACACACACAATGAAGCATGCACAACCACACAATCGCACACAAACACACACACACACACACACGCCCACCCGCACACAAGCAGCCACGAAATCTTTCGATCTGCGCGAGCATATCGTCACAAAAAACCTCCCCCGCACGCGCGCACATGCAAACATACATCCCAACTGCGTGCGCACTCACCGTGTGGAACTGCCGAGTGAAGATGAGCACGAACCCTGGCGTTTGTCGTGAGGACACTCTGTCCACCTTTGGGCGTGCACTTCGCGTTGCTGGGGTGCTCCGTGGGATGGTGGTCGCGCCTTCCTAGAAAGGAGATCGGGAGCGACGTCGAATATGACGTGGACAGCGACTTGGTAGGCGGAAGGACATGCGAGTGCATGTGGGGTGCGTCGGTGCCACAAAACGTGCGCGGTGAAGAATGGTTGTGCCAGCTATGGCGCGCCAGCTGTTGACGGCAGTGGTGGTGCGTGGCTTCCGTCGGGCAGCATCTCCCCAGCGAAAAATGCAAAACGCATCGTCAATGCCCAGAGCGCCGCTCGTATTTGTAGGCGCGCGGGACATGAAGCCCCCTCGGGCCTTCCATTTCGGATTTCCGTGCAGGGTCCGCGCGCCAACTCGCGGCTGTTCGATCCGCGCATCGAATGGTGGCTGCACGTCGAAATTGTCGCGAGGGGGGCCTGGTGCGTCGAAATGTGACAAAAACGTCCCTACGGGCTGGCCCTTCCCGGACGTCATTGGAAAACGGGCCCTTGTTCCGGGCCCCTCGCGTTCGTGTCTTCGAGTTCACGGGCCCCGGTGGAGGGGGTCTCAGGTGTCGGCGGGGGGCAGTTTGTACTTTCCAGGGGTGAGGGGGGAGAACCGCGGGAGGGGAGAGGGGGGCGAGGGCTGGGGAAAAGGGGAGGTTGGCGGGGTTCGCGACAATTCGCGTCTCCTGGCTGGCGAGCGGGGTCTGTGGCCGTGCGGGGGGACACAGGCAGGTCTTTCCATGGGGTGCGACGACAGTCTGACGCTCAGCTGCCTCGGGTCTGGGGCAGCCCTTTCGCATCTCAAGCCTGACGAGCGCATTCGCGCTTGACGTCCCGTCAGCGACATCCTCCATCGCCTTTTCTGCTCCGCTGTTGCGCCAGGCGGCGGCGGGCGTGGGCGCAGGGGTTTCCTCTCGTCAACAACTGTCGTCTGTGGTTCAGTTGTCTCCGCTTCGACATCTCGTCTCTGCGTCCTGCGTCAGCAAGTGGCCACCACCGTTTGCGCTGAGCCCTTGTCGAACAGTTGCGCCATCGTGTGCGCTTCGCCGTGGTCGAAGAACTGCGCCTCCTCGAAGAACTGTGAGCCGTCAAAGAGCAGCGCCATCGTGTGCGCTGTGCCCTCTTCAAGGCAAAGTGTTGTTCTGCCTGCCCTCGTGTCAGGCATGTTTGCCGGCCCATGGGAGCGGCAGCGTCGCGCCACCTGTTTCAAGTTGCGGGGACGGAGGGAAAGGATGTCGGTGACATTGGGCCACATGGTTTTTGTGTCCCCTTCTGATTCCCGCTCGTTCTTTCCTCGCGAGCGGCCCCGTGATTCTTGCTTGCCATCATCATCATCATCATCATCATCGCCCCCATCATCACCATCATCGTCGCCACCACCATCAGCGTCATCATCTTCATCATCATCGTCATCATCATCGACATCATCATCAACATCATCAACGTCATCAACAACATCATCATCATCAGCGACATCGTCGTCGTCATCAAAATCACCACCATCGTCCTCTCCGTTGTCATCGCCATCATCAACATCGTCATCATCGCCGTCATCATCGTCGTCATCATCGTCATCATCATCATCGTCGTCATCACAATCATCATCATCACGAACATCATCATCGACATCATCATCATCATCAACATCGTCATCATCGTCAGCGACATCGTCGCCCAGATCAACATCACCACCGTAATCGTCACTATCATCGTGTTCATCACCGTCGTCATCATTATCATCATGTCGTGCCACGTGTCGCAAGTGGCTGGGACGGCAGGAACGGATGACGTGGACATCGGGGCACACGGTTTGCGTATCCCGTTTTGCTTCTCTCTCATTCGTTCCACGCGACCGCCCCCACGACTCTTGTTTGGCTTGGCATTGAAGAAAAACTGCCGTTAATCACAAGCTGGACATTGCAAACCACTCCCGCGCGGTCGAGGCAAACACGAAATCGCCTATTCCCAGCGGAACACGAAACCCCTTCGAAACACTTCCCTCGCTCGTTTGTTGTTCTCAACAAAGAGATTAGAGGTTGGTTATCGCAAAGGAGACGCATGGGCTGCGCGCGAGCGCTGTTGGTACTAAGCGTCGCGCGGTGGCCACGGTGGGAAGGATGTCCGCCGTCCGCGTGGCGTGCAGTGAGAGGTAAGGTATTCATAAACAGGAGGGGGTCGTCATACCGTGTTCGTGTTCTCGCCGCAACACTTGAGCCTCCCTCCCCGAAGAGACTATGGCGTCAATCCCGGGAGAGTTGCTGTCCTCTCCATTCCGCGCACACAACGTGCACATGATCCACCATAGAGGCCATGAATGTTGAGCGCGCGCTCCTGGCGCTGGTCGTGAGGGATGCGATATCGCATTCCGCACATCAAATGCCAGGACTGTGCGCGCAACATCCGCGGGCTCCAGAACGAAGAATGCACACGTTGCGTGCGAGCGATGGAGAACGCTTGCGCCGCTCGCTGCAATGACGATGGCGTTTCTTCGGCGTGAGCACCGCATGTTTCGTGACGACAACCTCGACACGAAAATATGTCCTCGTTCAGTAACGAACAATCCGGCCGCCTCCGGGAAACGTCTCAGTCATCGGGGCAAGGGGGGTCGCCATTGTCACCGCAAGCTCGAAACCAACAACAGCCACACAAAAATCGGCGCGTGGCGTGTGGTTGCCTGGCGAGATGGGAAGTTCGGATCCCGGCGAACTACAGCAATCATGCGCAGTGCTCTCGCGAAAGCAGCAATCGGTTGGAGTCGCTCGGCCGCAGGGAGAGCACGCGCAGGTGCGAAAATAGCGCATGATTGCTGTAGTTCGCCGGAATCCGAAGTTCTAATTTTTTTGGCGGTTGTTGGTTTCACGTTCACAGTCACAATGCCATCCCGGGTTGCCTTGATGACTACGTTTTGCGGGACACAGTTCCCATCTTTCGGGCGTGGGGTCGGTAGTTCATAAAGCCATGCCAGTTTTCGGCGTGCGACGAAGTTCGGATCCCGGCGGACTTGCAATCTGAAGCATGCGAAGTCGCGGGCTACTCTAGTGATTATTGTTGTTTCGACTGTGTCACTGAAATAAGACGCTTACGGTTTGCATGGATCTTTTCAGAGTCCTGGTTGCATGACTGTTCTTTCGTCGGCGTTGCCACAAAAAAAAAAAAGTCCTCCCAACTGGACCCCAGCAAAAACAAAATGTTTAATGATCCCGGTCGAACGCGACAAACCGATCTGAAGTTCGGATCCGGGCGGACTTCGTGGTTGGCACCCGTACGTGGTCCCATGAACCTGGCTTTGGAACCTGCCATTGCCCGACTGCAAGCTCGCCTTGTCTGCGGTACTAATCGGGGGTCCACCAGCCGTGGTCATTTTTTTTTTGTGCTTGCAGTCATTGTCATCAAGGATGGCAACATCTGCGACTGGATCGCCGCAAGTGCTCGCTTTGTCGATGAGGAGAATTGGGGTCCATGGGGGTCTATTGGGGGCCGCGCTGCTCCAATTTCCGACGTGGTGCACCTGCGACGACCATTTCTGTTCTGTGTGCTCTGTTGGAACAAACAATTGTGAGCAGCAGCAGGGCCTCCCTGAACATGCAGCCAAGCCTAGCGTTCCTTCTGTGCAATTTCACACCGGTCATCCAAATATTCGTCGTCCCCCGCGCAAACCGGTTCCTGGCGAGTCCAGCAAGCGCCAAGTTCGGATCCCGGCAGACTTTGAGGTCCCGCGTAAATTTAACCGCCGTTTTCGACTGCCACGACTGTCGAGTGCGTTCTGACTACCAGAGGCCTCCGGGCACGCAAAAGTGCTCGCATGAGGCCTGGAGCTTCAAGTGTGAGTTGATTGCGCGGGGATTGTGGGTGCGAAAAATTGCTCACCTTCTGAGATTGCTTCCAGAGGGTTTTGACCGTCCCGGTGCGCGGATTCTTGTCACACACATGCTCGTGTTTTTGCGTGGTTTCCGGTTCGTGCTTTCGCACGTCGACGTTACCGGCACGCGAATCGGGGGTCGCCTTGTCGACTCTCCGAAACGGGGTTTGGAAGGGTTGCAGGGGGGGTCTTTCATCAGTTTCTACATTTTTCTTGTCTGCGCGGTTGGGATGTCCGATCTCGATGAACTCTTGCACTAGGGGTCAGTTTGGGGTCGCGCTGCGCCCGATTTTGTGGTGGTGCATCCACCGCTGCCCTTTGCTCTGCTCGTGCTGACGTTCAACGATAGCTCGAGAGCGGCAGAGCCTTCCTTTTGTGCGGCCAAGCATAGCGTTCCTTGTGTGCACCCGCTGGCACTCCGTTCCACTGACACCAGCCGCGCAAAAACAGGTTCCTTGCTACTCCAGCACCGACCAAAATCGGATCCCGGAGGACTTCGAGGCGCCGCATGAATCTGACCGTGGTTTTCAACGGCTTGGACTTCTTCGTCCGTCTTCAGTGCCGGCGGCATGGTATTGCGCAGAATTGCTCGCCTTGTAAGTTGCCCTGAAAGGGGTTTATTGGGGTTGACGACGGTGTCGATGGCCGGGTCCATTTCCGGTGTGCCGTGGATCTTTGTTCATCGTCGCCCCAAAATGCGGTGCGCCCGAGCAACGCCTGCTTCTGTGCAAACGTCATCCACCCGTTACAAATGCAAGCAAATCCACCAAGTTTGGATCCTGGCGGACTTCGAGGATCGACGAGAATCTATCCGTCCTTTGCGTGGCGCCTGGAGCTTCGAGTGTGAGTTGATTGCGACAGGACTGTGGGTGTGAGAAATTGCTCGCCCTCTGAAATGCTCGTCAAGGGGTTCATGGGGGTTGCCGAAAATAAGGGACACGGCCGTTGTCACCGCCGGCAACCCACATTCACCCCTTCGAGGGGATTTATGAAGGCGAGCAATTTTTCGCGCCCACGATCTTTGTTGCCCCCCAAGGTTTTTGACCGTCGCGGTGTGCGGAATCTTGTCGCAGAATCGGGGGTCGCCTTCTCGACTGGCCGAATCAATGTTTGGAAGGGTTGAAGGGGGGATCTTTCATCCTTTTCTACATTTTTCTTGTCTACGCGGTGGGGATGTCCGAGTTCGATAAGCTCTTGCACTAGAATCTGTGAATGGAAAACTGCATGAGCTCGCTTAGACGATGGTGAGAATCGAGTTTATGGGGGTCAGTTTGGGGTCGCGCTGCGCCGAATTGTGTGGTAGTGCATCCACCACTACCCTTTGTTCTGCGCGTGCTATCGTTCACCGACAACCGAGCTTTCCTTTTGTTCGCCCAAACATAGCGTTCCTTGTGTGCACCCACTGGCGCTACCTTCCACTGATACAGGCCGCGCGAAAACAGGTTCCTTGCTACTCCTACACCCGCCAAATTCGGATCCCGGCGAACTCAGAGGCTCCCCATAAATCTGACCGTCATTTTCAACAGCTTGGACTGCCCAGTCCGTCTTCAATGCCGGCGGCCTGGTAGTGCGGAAAAGTTCTCGCCTTGTGAGTTGCCCTAAAAGGGGTTTATTGGGGTTGACGACGGTGTCACTGGCCGCGTGCATTTCTGGTGTGCCGTGGATCTTCCTTCATCGACGCCCCGAAATGAGGTGCGGCCGAGCATCGCCTGGTTCTGTGCAAACGCCATCCACCTGTTTCAATACCTGCAGCCGCGCGAAAACCTGTTACTCTCTGCAGGCAAATCCGCCAAGTTCGGATCCTGGCGGACTTTGAGGATTTGCGCAAATCTATCCGTCCTCCGCATGGCGCCTGGAGCTTCGACTGTGAGTTGATTGCGAGAGGACTACGGGTGCGAGAAATTGCTTGCCCTCTGAAATGCCCTTGAAGGGAGTCATGGGGGTTGCCAATAAGGGACACGACCGTTGTCACCGAAGGCAACCCCCATAAACCCCTTCAAGGGCATTTCAGAAGGCGAGCAATTTTTCGCACCCACGATCTTTTCTGCCCCCCCAAGGGTTTTCGCCGTCGCGGTGTGCGGAGTCTTGACGCAGACATGCTTGTGTTTTTGCGTGCTGTTCGGTTCGCGCTTTCGCACGTCGACGTTCCCGTCGCGCGAATCGGGGGTCGCCTTCTCGACTGGCCGAATCAATGTTTGGAAGGGTTTAAGAGGGGTTCTTTGATCCTTTTCTGCATTTTTCTTGTCTGCGCAGTGAAGACGTCCGTGTTCGATAGCTATTGCACTAGTGCCAGCGAATGGAACACCGCATGAGCTCGCTTAGACGATGGTGAGAATCGGTGTTTATAGGGGTCTGTTTGGGGTCGCGCTGCGCCGAATTGTGTGGTGGTGCATCCGCCACTACCCTTTGTTCTGCGCGTGCTATCGTTCACCGACAATAAAGCCTTCCTTTTGTTCGCCCAAACATAGCGTTCCTTATGTGTACCCACTGGAGCTACCTTCCACTGACACAAGCCGCGCGAAAACAGGTTCCTTGCTACTCCTGCACCCGCCAAATTCGGATCCCGACGAACTTAGAGGCTCCCCGTGAATCTGACCGTTATTTTCAACAGCTTGGACTGCCCAGTCCGTCTCCAATGCCGGCGGCCTGGTAGTGCGGAAAAGTGCTCGCCTTGTGAGTTGCCATGAAAGGGGTTTATTGGGGTTGACGACGGTGTCACTGGCCGGGTGCATTTCCGATGTGCCATGGATCTTCGTTCATCAACGCCCCGAAATGCGGTGCGGCCGAGCATCGCCTGCTTCTGTGAAAACGCCATCCACCCGTTCCAATACCTGCAACCACGCGAAAACCTGTTACTCGCTGCAGGCAAATCCGCCAAGTTCGGATCCTGGCGGACTTTGAGGATAGACGCAAATCTATCCGTCCTTCGCATGACGCCTGGAACTTCAAATGTGAGTTGATTGCGAGAGGACTGCGGGTGCGAGAAATTGCTCGCCCTCTGAAATGCCCTTGAAGGGGTTCATGGGGGTTGGCGAAAGTAAGGGACATGACCGTTGTCACCGTCGGCAACCCCCATAAACCCCTTCAAGGGCATTTCAGAAGGCGAGCAATTTTTCACACCCACGATCTTTTCTGCCCCCCAAGGGTTTTGACCGTCGCGGTGTGTGGAGTCTTGACGCAGACATGCTTGTGTTTCTGCGTGCTGTCCGGTTCGCGCTGTCGCACGTCGACGTTCCTGGCGCGCGAATCGGGGGTCGTTATTGCACTAGTACAAGCGAATGGAGCACCGCACGAGCTCACTTAGATGATGGTGAGAATCGGTGTTTATAGGGGTCTGTTTGGGGTCGCGCTACGCCGAATTATGTGGTGGTGCATCCACCACTACCCTTTGTTCTGCGTGTGCTATCATTCACCGACAACAGAGCCTTCCTTCTGTTCGCCCAAACATAGCGTTCCTTGTGTGCACCCACTGGCGCTACCTTCCATTGACACAAGTCACGTGAAAACAGGTTCCTTGCTACTCCTGCACCCGCCAAATTCGGATCCCGGCGAACTTTGTGCCCTCAACGCGTAAATCTGATTGTGCTTACAGTTTGCTCCGCTGTTTTGCAGGGTGTGGACACGAATTCGAATGACCCGTTCGACCCGCACAAGAGAGAATAATCCATTGCGCTGACGAAAATCGCATCTGCTACACTGACGGTTGC